CCCAGTACGCTCCCTGTGCAAGCAGGTGGTCACGTTGGTTATGTTGACGGAAGTTAGCCTATTTTCAGGTGCTGCATAATATCATTGCGCCTGCTGCACCCATGGTACGGCAGCAAAGTTCCTTGATTATTATGCTACAGCTAAAAGTGCTACCGCCAGACCCGGAGATCGGCTGAATGGATTCGAAAACGGTAAAACTCAACTGTTTAACACTAGGGGAGTTGGAAAATTAGCCTATTTTCAAAAATAGTGGAGTGTTCCTTTAAATACACTGAAAAAAACTGTCAAAACTTTTCACACAGCTGCTCTTTTGAATAATAGTATAGTAACTACAACATTAATTTAAGGAAGAATGAAAGATAGGGGGGGGGCTATATTATATTTTAGATTCTTCAAAGAAGCCGGTTTTTGCTCGGATGCTTATAAATTAGAAACAATCTATATGTTGTCAACAAAACTAATTTCTAAGCACTGAAGCATTAGAGGTGTGACGGGCCGAGGAAGACAGAGGACTCAAAGGCAGAGGATTAGATGCAAAGAAAGTTTGTTCTCCAAAGGTACATAAACAAATAAAACTGTAACCAAAATAGCGAGCAAGTCTCTGGGGGTAATCCAATTTCGGTCGGCAGTATGATGCGGACCAAGGGATTAGAAGATTGCCCAAGACTCAGCGCTCGCCCAGGACCAACAACCTGAGAGTTGAGTGAGGCAGAGAGATGAAGTCCTTCTCTCTATGCGTCCTGGGAGCAGGGAAGACAGAGGTGAGTGTAACACCAGAGAATGAAACAACCAGAACCCAGGACACAAAGCACATCGAACACAAAACAATCTACTCACAACAAGAACTGGACGGAAGAGGAATATAAAGGAAAGGGTAATAAGCAACAGGTGGGGTAGAGGCAGCCAGTGACCCACGCAGCCCCACTGCCAGATCAGCGCTGATTGCACCAATCATAAGCTGCTGAAAAATACATGACAGACAGACAGCAGAGGGAGCCAGAGGACACCATGACCTGTGACAGTACCCATCCCCTCAGGGACGTCTCCTGGCGCCCCCGGAGGACTCACCATGACGCCGATGAAACTGGTCGATGAGAGCGCGATCCAGAATGTCGCGAGCCGGAACCCAGCATCTCTCCTCCTGACCATAACCCTCCCAGTCTACCAGGTACTGGTGACCTCTACCCCTATGCCTCACATCGATTAGTCGCCGTACCGTATAAGCCAGCGACCCCTCGATGAGTTTGGGAGGCGGGGGGGCAGAGGTCTGGGGCTGAAGGGGGGAGCGAATAACGGGCTTGATCTTAGGTACGTGAAATACCGGGTGAATATTCTTAAAAGGGAGGGGGTTAACTTGAGTCGCACCGACAAACTCCAAGACGACGGTTCGGAAGACGCCACACAGCGCAGGACACTCTCCAAATCCTGGTTAGCATGCTCAGCCTGCCCATTAGTCTGCGGGTGATAACCAGAGGATAAGCTCGCAGTTGCCCCCAGCTGTCGACAGAATTCTGTCCAAAACCTAGACACAAACTGGGGACCCCTGTCAGAAACCACGTTAACCGGGAGGCCATGAATACGGAAAACGTGATCTAAGACAACTGTCGCTGTCTCCCTCGCTGAGGGTAATTTGGGGAGGGGAATGAAATGAGCCACTCAGGTGCGAGTCGCTCCTGGGTGGCAAGCTAGTTCGGACGAGTGGCCCCACTGTAGGACGCTAGTTCAGACTGACTCGGGCACGAACAACAGACCCTCTGGGCAACCCGCGGGAATAGCAGCGTCTCGTAACGCAGAGTGGACCCTGGATTCCACCTCCCACGTGACCGCTGCCACAACCCGTTCAGGAGGCAGAATGGGCACGGGGAGGGTGAGACTAGCCTCAGCCTCAAAGATCCGCGACAACGCATCGGGCTTACCAGATGTATTCTCTCTTCCGAGGGTGATCTTTGGGACAAAATGGCCCCAACCCCCACCTCTGACGCATGCACCTCCACAATGAACTGACGAGACGTGGTGTGGTTAAAATGGGAGCCGAAACGAAGTGACTCTTTAAGTTTTCAAACGCCGTCTGAGCCTGCGAAGACCACCCGTAACGCTTCTTAGTGGAGGTGAGATCAGTCAGAGGAAGGGCAACCTGACTAAAGTTCCGAATGAACCGCCTGTAAAAATTGGCAAACGCCAGAAATCGCTGGACAGCTCTACGACTATCTGGGATGGGCCAATCAGCAACTGCTTTTACCTTGGCAGGATCCATTTGGATACCCTCGGGAGAGAGGATATATCCGAGGAACGGAACCGACCGTGCGTGAAACTTGCACTTCTCCACCTTGGCGAATAAACGATTCTCAAGTAGCCGCTGGAGCACTCGCCTGACGTGCTGGACATGATCGCGTTCATTCTGGGAGAAAATCAGAATATCGTCCAGGTAAACAAAAACAAAACAGTCGACCATGTCTCTGAGCACGTCATTGACGAGTGCCTGGAAGACCGCCGGAGAGTTAGAAAGCCCAAACGGCATGACCAAATATTCAAAGTGCCCAGTAGGGGTGTTAAAGGCGGTCTTCCATTCATCCCCCTCCCTAATCCGAACTAAGTGATAAGCGTTGCGGAGGTCCAACTTCGTAAAGATGGTAGCCCCCTGCAAGAGCTGAAAGGTGGATGACATCAATGGCAAAGGATAACGATTCTTCACCGTGATGTCATTCACCCCCTGATAGTCTATGCAGGGGCGCAACGAACCATCCTTCTTCTCCACGAAGAAGAACCCCGCGCCAGCCGGAGAGGAAGAGGGTCGGATGATGCCTGCTACCTGAGAATAGTGAATATACCTTGTCATGGCCTCCCTCTCAGGACCTGACAGAGAGTAAAGGCGCCCCTTAGGAGGAGAAGTGCCAGGCAACAGGTCTATCGCACAGTCGTACAGGCGGTGCGGAGGCAGAGATGAAGCTCGGGACTTACTGAAAACCACTCTCAAGTCATGGTAAGCCTCTGGTACACCCGCCAGGTTCTCCGGCTCCTCCTGCAACAAAGAATGAGACATAACAGGGGAGAATGCAGCACCCAAACATTGAGCTAAACAAAAAGGGTTCCAAGTTAAAACAGAGTTGAGAGCCCAGTCAATGTGAGGATTATGTTTGACTAGCCAGGTGTGCCCCAAAACCACTTGGGCGGTGGGTGAGTGAATGAGGAGAAAACGGATCTCCTCGACATGGTTGCCGGAGAGCGTGAGTGTAATAAACTTAGTAGCATGGGTAATCCTGGAAAGAAGGGTGCCACAAAGTGTTCTGGCTGATATAGGCTCAGCCAGAGCAATGGAGGGGATCCCCAAGTGGTCAATCAATGCAGACACTTGATGAGCAGCCCCCTTCACCAGCAATGAGGCTTGAAAGACAGAGAGTAAAGGCGCCCCTTAGGAGGAGAAGTGCCAGGCAACAGGTCTATCGCACAGTCGTACAGGCGGTGCGGAGGCAGAGATGAAGCTCGGGACTTACTGAAAACCACTCTCAAGTCATGGTAAGCCTCTGGTACACCCGCCAGGTTCACCGGCTCCTCCTGCAACAGAGAACGAGACATAACAGGGGAGAATGTGGCACCCAAACATTGAGCTAAACAAAATGGGCTCCAGGTTAAAACAGAGTTGAGAGCCCAGTCAATGTGAGGATTATGTTTGACTAGCCAGGTATGCCCCAAAACCACTTGGGCGGTGGGTGAGTGAATGAGGAGAAAACGGATCTCCTCGTCATGGTTGCCGGAGAGCGTGAGTGTAATAAACTTAGTAGCATGGGTAATCCTGGAAAGAAGGGTGCCACAAAGTGTTCTGGCTGATATAGGCTCAGCCAGAGCAATGGAGGGGATCCCCAAGTGGTCAATCAATGCAGACACTTGATGAGCAGCCCCCTTCACCAGCAATGAGGCTTGAAACTCAGACCGACCACCAGAGGGCAATCGAGCTCTAGTAATGCTCACCTTCTGCCCTCCCTTGAGCGGTAAGCGCTGCCTGACGGCTGGGCACGCAGCAGCCACGTGACCGGCCTCTCCGCAGTAGAGACACAGTTGGTTGTCCAGGCGACGACGCCACTCTCTCAGCATCAACCGCGCCCTCCCAACCTGCATCGGCTCATCCTGGGGGAAATCGAGAAGTTGAGATGGTGTGTCACCTGACACTGCAGACACAGCTCTATTACCAGGCTCGAGATAAGCCCCTCCCCTCCGATGCCGGTAACGGAGAGCAATACGGTTATCCACCCGAATGGCGAGGTCGATGAGTCCGTCCAGGCTCGAGGGTAATTCCAGGGAATAGATTTCATTCTTGACGTGCTCGGCCAGACCGTGAAGAAAGTGATCCCAGAGAGCCTTGTCATTCCAGCCACAGGATGCCGCGAGTGTGCGAAACTCGATCGAGTAACTGGATACTGAGCCTTCTCCCTGCCGTAGCAGCGCCAGGGCTCATGCTGCTTCAGTTCCCTGAGCCGAGCGATCAAACACTTTGCGTAGTTCCTTCGAGAAACTCTCAAAGGAGGAACAGCAGCTGTGCTCATTATCCCGCATGGCCGTTCCCCACTCTCTCGCTAGACCCACCAAGAGCATGATGGTGAAAGCTACCTTGGACTGCTCCGTGGGAAAACGGGAAGGCTGCAGCGAGAAAGTCAGAGAGCATTGGGACAAAAAGGAGCGACAACTGTTAGGCTCACCCGAGTAAGGAGCAGGAGGATTGAGCCGTGGTTCAGTGCGACGGCTACTAGTTCCAACGGGGTCGGGAGGAGGGGTTACTGTAGGAGTCGCGGGAGGGCTGGTGTGTAGCTGATCCAACCGTTCAACCAGCTGGTTAAGCTGGAGAGAGATCTCGGAGTATGCGCGGCGGGAAGCCGCGATCTCCTCCTGATGTCGACCCAGAAGAACGCCCTGCTGCATCAGGGCTCGGCGCATCTCATCCTCCTCTGCTGTGTCCGTAATATCTGGTGAGTAGATTCTGTGACGGGCCGAGGAAGACAGGGGACTCGAAGGCAGAGGATTAGATGCAAAGAAAGTTTATTCTCCAAAGGTAACAAAAACAAATAAAACTGTAACCAAAATAGTGAGCCAGTCTCTAGGGGTAATCCAACTTCGGTCGGCAGTTTGATGCGGACCAAGGGATTAGAAGATTGCCCAAGACTCAGCGCTCGCCCAGGACCAACAACCTGAGAGTTGAGTGAGGCAGAGAGATGAAGTCCTTCTCTCTATGCGTCCTGGGAGCAGGGAAGACAGAGGTGAGTGTAACACAAGAGAATGAAACAACCAGAACCCAGGACACAAAACACATCGAACACAAAACAATCTACTCACAACAAGAACTAGACGGAAGAGGAATAAAAAGGAAAGGGTAAAAAGCAATAGGTGGGGTAGAGGCAGCCAGTGACCCACGCAGCCCCACTGCCAGATCAGCACTGATTGCACCGATCACAAGCTGCCGAAAAAGACATGACACACAGACAGCAGAGGGAGCCAGAGGGCACCCTGACCCGTGACAGAGGTCTTTAAATCAAAAGGTTCTTAAGATCACGAGAAACATAAAGGCAGCCAAGTGAGTGCAAACCTTTAACTGGTCATGAACATGTTCTGTTTGTCTCAAAATGGCCTGGAATTTCTATAGCATTAAAACAATTGAGACCCCTGCTATTTTAATTTCCTCTCTTTTATCCACTTGAGTGGTTTTATTTTAATGGCTAGTATTGTGACAGATAACACAGTTTAAAAAGGGCTTCACTTTTGGCTGATCTATAGTTATATGGGAAGCAATTAATGGATACACCAATTTATGAAGTTTTTATTTTTAATATATATTTTTTTTTTTTGTTATTTTCATTTTATATAACTGTCAGTTTTATTGGATACCACTAATCATAATTGTAATTACTTTGCATCTTAAGACAGTATAAAAAAATTTTTCAGGCAAGTGTTGTATGTTAGCAATGGTAGGAACATATAATGAGAGTTGTAAAGTACCCTAAATAGACATGTATTATTGTTACATTGACCAATCAGAACAGTTTCCTTAACGTCATGCTGTTTTGTTGATGTTGCTTTCTCTGTCACAGAGTTTATGTTTGTTTACTCCGACGGGGGCAAAAGAGGGGCTTCCTGGGCTCATCCCCTCTGGTCCCATCACATTTGGGACCACCATTGGCGCTCACGTTGCAAAGACACGCAAGACACTACTTGTAGAGGACATCATGGGGGTGAGCCACATGCTGTTTTCCTGTGTTCAGTAACACAGTAACACAGACCATTCAGCTGTATGCTTGAGGCTACACTTTAGCAACTGTAAAATATGTTGTAAATAAATCCTTCATACTTTATTTTCAAAAGAAATCTGTTGGTGCCTTTGCATGTCAAAATAGCTGTATAGAGTATCAAATAAATTTTTCACATAATGCTGACATACAGTACAGCTTTGTAAACGTTTGGTTAGAAATAAAAGGTGATTTAAATTAGAAGGCCAGGAACCATAAATATCCCAGGCTAGCTTTGAATTTACAGTCATAAGTTATTTTAATACATGATAAAATGCATAGAATAAAAAAGAAATGCTCATACAGTATTTGTAAATATTGTAATTATTAACACACTGAGAAAATGAAGTGGCTGCAGAAGCGCTACTGTTTGTAAAAAATAAAAATAGCATGTGTGTTATGATGTGTTTCCAGTTTAAATAACAAATGTTATTAAAACTTTATTTATTAAGACTTTTAGGACTGATAAGGAGTGTTTGAAGAACAGCACATCCATGATTGATGAACGTATGTACTGTATATATAAACTCCTCCCCCTGGACTGGCCTGAATCCCTGTGTGCTCTGTTTCTCCTGCAGGACGAGAGGTTCCCTCATGGCACAGGGCAGGACTCAGGGATCCGTGTACATTCTGTTTTGTGTCTACCCATCCTCACCGCCATCGGAGACCTCATCGCTATCCTGGAGCTGCACCGGCACTTGGGCAGAGAGCCCTTCAACCTCAGCCACCTTGAGGTACTCTAAGGGAGAAAGTGCTGGTATTTGTTACACGTCTGCTCTCGATTTATTTAGCCAGGCTGCATATTGTCCTCAGGACTAGTAGTAGTAAGGAATATTCTAGGTTGTGCTGAATGTAATCTATGGACAGCATCTGTGGGAAACCTCAATTATCACATTTAGTGTTTTGACAGATGAGAAATTCTCATAGAGCTATACACGTATAACTTATTATTATCATTTTTAATTTCACAATAGTGTGAATGAAAAATGGACTGATACTGAGTCTGATTTCAGACCATCCATTCAGATAAACCCTTCCCTTAACTGCCCATAAAAACAAAGCGAACTGTAATTGGTTGCTTCACATGTTGGTCAGTCTCTTCCTGTCTAAAGGTGCGGCCACATTTACTATAGTTAAATCTTTGCGGGGAGAATCTATGCAATCTGGAATTTCATGTGAGGGGTAAAAGATTTCCCCACATAGCAATTTTTTGTGGATTCGCCACGGTGACCAACACTGCTTGTTTTGAAAGTGACTTCTGTATGAGCTGGGTTTTATGCATCGCTACACTATTAACAATAGACAATGAAACTTTTTTTCCCACAAAATACCACCAATTTTTCGCTAATGTGACCACATTTTAAATGGCTGGTCCTCTCTTGATCAGTACAAGTTACAATATGTTACAGACCTTATATGCCATCTAGCAGTTCACAATACATTATAAAAGCAAAGTACATGATAAAATGTTTGGTTCATTCCTGTGAATAATTTTGTTTGTGTTATTTCATAGTTTCGATTACTTCTTCCCCCACTGTCCTGGAGAGTTTAGCAAACACACCTGCCTGTAATATTCAAGACTTAGGTTATGTCCAAAAATGCCTCCTATTCCATTATATAGTGCATGGAGCAATCTGTAGTGGTGTCCAAAACTATAGTGGATGCTATCAAGTGCACTCATTCATAATGCGCCTCAAACAAACGAGTGAACAACTGATGTACACTCAACAGCTAGGCACTTCATAATACACACACACTGTAAACATTGCTCCAAATGAATTCATTGGTCTGTATTCATGCAGTAATGTCCCAACTTTGCAGGACAGTGGCCCTCTAGGACCAGAGTTACCCATCTCTCTATGTAGTAAATAGCAATAATAAAGAATGTGTAATTGTATTCGGTCTTTGTTTATATTCAACTGTCAGGTGAGGTACACAGAACTATGAAGTTCTGTGTGTTCATGGAGTGCTCAAGGTGCATGTATTGTGTCTTTGGCTAATTGTGCCCTATTTTTTAGGTTGCAACAGCGAATTTGGCCTGGGCATCTGTAGCCATACACCAAGTCCAGGTGAGTATGTTTGAGAAAAACAATGTCAAGTCAAGTTAAGTCACCTTTATTTATATAGCGCTTTATACAGTACAGATTGTGTCAAAGCAGCTTTACAGTGTTAATCGGGAAAAACGTGTGCTGATAATGCAAGAGGACTAGAAAACTGATCAGTTTATCAGTTAAAGTCAGTTCATCTTTGATCAGTGATGTCATCGTCCAGCTCAGTTCAGTTCTCTTCCCATAGTGTCTGTGCAGTCAAGTCAACAATGTTGCCAGAAATATTGTCCCTAACTAAGCAAGCCAAAGGCGATAGTGACAAGGAACCAAAACTCCATCGGTAACAGAAATGGAGAAAAAAAACCTTGGGAGAAACCCGGCTCAGTCGGGGGGCCATTTCTCCTTTGGCCAGATGAAACCAGCATGGTGTGGTTTAATTCCAGGCTGTAACACAGGTCAGATTGTGCAGAGGACTTGTCTGGTTCTCATGGTCTTATGCCGATGGCTGTCGAGGTGATGAGGTCTTCACTGGGGATCTGTCTCTAGGGCTCGTCTAGTTGACATAGTCTCTACTGATATTCAGGGCTGTAGAGGTCGTCTGTAGGTGCTGATCCACCATCTGGATTGGATCCAGGTGACTGCAGTGACCATCTGGTCTGGACACGGACTGGATCTGGGATGGCTACAGTGACCTCGGAATAAAAATAAAACAGACTAATATTAGCATAGATGTCATTCTTCTTACAATGTAACAAGTACATCGGGTGTTATGGGAAGTGTTCAGGTTGACCTAATTAATGCAGCCTAACAATCCTTTAATGGATTTGAATTTTAGAAAAGTGATTGTGTGTTATGTGTCATACTTCCTGGTAAAAACTCTAGCTGCTGCATTTTGGGCCAGCTGGAGTTTGTTTATTAAGTGCGCAGAGAAACCACCCAATAAAGCATTACAATAATCTAACCTTTTGGTCATGAACGCATTAAATATCATTTCTGCATTTGACATTGAGAGCATAGGTCATAATTTAGCTATATTTTTAAGATGGAAAAAATGCAGTTTTATAAATGCTAGAAACATAACTTTTAAAGGAAAGGTTGCTATCAAATAGCACACCTAGGTTCCTAACTGATGACGAAGAATTGACAGAGCAGCCATCAAGTGTTAGACAGTGTTCTAGAGTATTACATGCAGAGGATTTTGGTCCGATAATTAACACCTCTGTTTTTTTCAGAATTTAGCCATAGGAAATTACTAGTCATCCAGTTTTTTATATCAGCTATGCATTCTGTTTTGCGAATTGGCATGTTTCATTGGGCCACGAAAAAATATAGAGCTGAGTATCATCAGCATAACAGTGAAAACGTCTCAGGTTACTTATGTAACCATGGTTCCCTGAGTAGGGAACGAGACATTGCGTCCTCTAGGGGTCGCTATGGGGAACACCTCGTCGTGACCCGTGTCTAAAGCATACATTGAAAAAACACCAACTCGTTGGCCGGCGACAGCCATGACGTCACTACCGGTGCGACTATAGTATAAATAGGCGCCGGGAGCACACATCATTCACGTCTTCGTCTGAAGCTTGCGTCCGCAGCATGGCAAGAAACCTAGAGGACGCAGTGTCTCATTCCCTACTCAGGGAACCATGGTTACATAAGTAACCTGAGACGTTCCCTTTCATGGGAACTTCGAACTGCGTCCTCTAGGGGTCGCTATGGGGAACGGTATACCCACGCCACCATGCTGAGGGGAGTGCATGCCAGAACCATGGCGAGCACTAAGTACCAACTCTACGATATTGCTATGGGAGTCATCCCTGGGACGTTAGACGGCTGTCAGTGATGTTATTCCCTATGGCCAAAGGCCTAGGCTACATACCCCAAATACTTACCTGTTAGGGCCAGACTCCTGGGCCCGGGGTAGAGCTCAAGGCCTGATGATATCTCACAAGGGTAACATGTAAAGCATGAAAAGCAACAGTCCTAGTACTGAGCCTTGTGGCACTCTATACTGCACTTGTTAACGATATGATACTTCTTCATTCACTGCTACGAATTGATGATGGTCAGATAAGTATGATTGGATCAGATACCATTTCTCTCTAAGAAGGAACATAGCTGAGAGGATACTGCCTTTTCCAGTATTTTTTACAGAAAAGGGAGAATTGAGATTGGTCTGTAATTAACTAATTCTCTAGGATCAAGTTGTGCTTTTTAAATGTGAGGCTTAATAACAGCCAGTTTGAAGGATTTTGGGACATATCCTAATGACATTGACAAATTAATAATATTAAGAAGAGGATCTTTGACTTCTGGAAGCACCTCATTTGAGTAGCTTAGATGGAATAGAGTCTAACATACATGTTGTCGGTTTTGATGATTTGACAAGTTTATACAATTCTTCCTCTCCTATAGCAGAGAATGAGTGGAATTGTTCCTCAGGGGATCTATTGTGGTACTCCATACTGCACTTGTGAACGATATGATACTTCTTCATTCACTGCTACGAATTGATGATGGTCAGATAAGTATGATTTGAACCATGCCAATGCAATTCCAAAAATGGCAACATCATTTTCTAGTCTATTCAAAAGAATGTTGTGGTCGATAGTGTCAAATGCAGTGCTAATATCCAGTAGCACTAATAGAGAGAGACAACCATGATCAGATGATAAGAGCAGGTCATTTGTAACTCTGATAAGAGCAGTCTCAGTGCTATGATATGGTCTAAATCCTGACTGGAAATCCTCATAGATACCATTTTTTCTGACAGAAAAGGGAAATTTGAGATCGGTCTGTAATTAACTAATTCTCCAGGATCAAGATGTGTTTTTTCTTTAATGAGAGGCTTCATAACAGCCAGTTTGAAGGTTTTTGGGACATATCCTAATGTCAGTAATAAATTAATAATATTCAGAAGAGGATCTATGACTTCTGAAAGCACCTCTTTTAGTAGCTTAGATGGTATAGGGTCTAACATACATGTTGTACAATTCTTTCTGTCCTATAGCAGAGAATGAGTGGAATTGTTTAAAACCATGCTTGACAGTTAGGAGTCCTGTTGCATAAGCTGTTTGATTTGGTTGTACACACGTGTTTTGATTTCTGTAATCCACTGTGTATATGGACCAGGCTGCTGGTGGGCCCAGTGTAAGCAACTAGACCACACATTAAACACACCCTTGTCTCAGGAGGTGCAATTAATGACAATGCAGTCTTGTTTGTACGTAAATGGTTGTACACTGTGAATGACACCACTATGGGTTTTAATGTCCCTATGCATCACAGGGCTCTTTGGGAGTAACTCTTTCTGTGGGACACAACCCTCAAATGTTAGGGAGCCATCAGAACATTGTAGTGATGTGCAGACAAGATGGACCATAAGTAACACATTTTAATAAAAGGCCTTAAAGAATTGGATCGCTCAAAAATTGTTTATTCAATCTTATGTCGTAAATGATGACACATTTTTATAGATAACATTTTTAGTTGAAGGACTTCTTTAGAGATCAAAATTCATCCAAAAATGCCAATTCTCATATTTACATTTACATTTAATCGTTATTTAATCATTTAGCAGATGCTTTTATCCAAAACAACTTAAAAATGAGGACAATAGAAGCATTCAAACCAACAAAAGAGCTGTGACTGTGACAAGTCATAGATAGTCTAATGCAGTACACATACTATATAGCAAGTTTTTTTTTTTTTTGTTATAATAAATAAAAAGAATAAAAGTAGATAGATATGAAATAGGATACATAGATCTAGTGTTAGAGGGTCAAGTTATTATAATTTTTTTTATATATATATATGATAATATATAATAGCCAGTGGTTGTTTTGTAAGCAGACATCAGTATGTCTTGAATTTTATGCGAGCGGCTATTGGTAGCCGGTGCAAATTGATGAATTCTCTTGTCATCTTCTAACCCTCATGCTGCTCGAATTACATAATAATTTGTATTTCTGTGTAGGACCTAAAACATTGTCTAGCAAAATGTCCAAGCGGATCATACAACATACAACAAGTAGATGGAAATGAAGCATTCAAGCTTCAAAAACAAAAAAGTAGTCCATATGACAATCCATACACTCTCACAAAAAAAGGGTACAAAAGCTGTCACTGGGGCGGTACCTTTTCAAAAGGAAGACCTTTGTACCTTATTTACCACTAATGGGTGCATATACAGTACTGTGCAAAAGGCCATTAGTCTTTTCACCCACACAAAAAAATGGTTTTAAGCCAGTTATTTCTATCTTTTGCAGTAGTGTGCCAGTAGGAATTATCAGTTTACATTTCCAAGCATTCCTTTTGCCATTAATCGTAATAATCCAGTGAGATTTTTGCATGTTTAGGACCATGTGCTGTTGTCAGGCATCTTGTGCATACAAAAATCTTACTGGATTATTACAATTAATGGCAAAAGGAATGTTTGGAAAAAGTGCTGGCAGACTACAGCATAGAAATAACTGGTTTAAAACCATTTTTTGTTGGTGAAATTAGTAATGGCCTAAGACTTTTGCACAGTATTGTACCTTAAAAATACATATTAGTACCTAAATGGTATATCTTTTGAAAAGGTACCACCCCACTGACAGCTTTTGTACCTTTTTTTTCTGAGAGTGTGCTATATTTTTGTGTATTATCAGTGTTTTACACTGAGATTATAGATCACAACTTTCTAAAAAATATCTAATTGAAGGCTGGTGATCAGTTACAAAGACATGTCAATTTAAACACCGACTTGCCGTGATTGCTGTCTTCAAGCTTCTTGTTCATTTTTCGCTCACAGGTCTGCAGAGGTCTTGCCAAACAGACGGAACTCAATGACTTTCTCCTAGATGTGTCAAAGTAAGCAAGTTTATGCATGAAAAAGTCTCTTGAATCTCATCAATCTCTTGAAAAATCTTATGAAATGTGTCAAGAACACATAACAAAATCATGATAAAAATAAATGTTACTTAAATAAAACTAAGCCTGTTAAGCCTACTTTTTTTTCATGAAAATTAAACATTTTTTTCACATTACAGTAATTACAGTAAGAAAAAACGTAATTATTATGAAAAGAATGTCACACTGCAAAACTATCTAAATTTTTCCATAATACTGAAATGTTTCAATGTTTATTGGCATTTAACATTATAATAAATAGCCAAT